CTGACTGTTAAATGACTATATCTGGTTTATGATGGCTATATCTGGTCTTCATTGATGTCACCGTGATAAACTATCTCGATTTTGTTTTACCTACAGGCATTACGGATTTGTAACATAAATAACATAAGGTTGTAATGTTTACTTAATCTCCGTTAGGTACTTTTCCAGGAAATAAGTCGTTCTTGGACGAGAACGACACCTTTATTTCTACTAGCCATTTAGTTAAATGAAAACAAAGATTGTCAACCTTTCTGTATAAAAAATAATTTATTAATAAAGCCCATGTTTGACGATAGTTCCTGTAATCCACGTAAAGACTGCACGTGAAAATCATGTGTCCACATAATTCAAGTCCATTCTCATGTTTCTCGCGCCGTGTCTGTGTTGTTAATGTCCGTGTTATCCGGTCCCTGTTAACAGAGAGACGTGACGTGAGTGTTCGGGGAGAAGTGAAGGCCAACATTAATGAGGAGTTTTAACACCATTCAATGTAAGTACAAGGCAATATCTGACATGTCCTTATATGGGTAATAAACGGAAACAACTCACAGCTAAGCATCGTCTTTATAACAAAATTGGATCTCGTAAACTTTTGTATCTCAGAGTGTATATTTGTCCAAAATTATTTTCACGTAAAATAATTTCATTTTTTCTGCAGAACTTAGGCGACTAAGTAGCTCAATCAGTTAGAGTTCCGTTACATTTCCATAAATCACAACTGACAGAGTTCCGCTTCATTTCTATAAATGACAACTGACAAAAGCTATGTCTATAAATGGCAATATATGCTGTAATATATAATCATAGATACAAGAAAATCAGCCTCTAAAACTGTTATTCATTTCGTTTATGGATACTTTCTACATCAATCAATATTAAACCGTTGTAATGAAAACGGGAGAAACGCATTCGGTGGCTTAATAAACTGTTTTCGCATATGACAGATCTTGAGTGGCATTCAAATATTGAGCTTTGTTCCTATCTATCAACCAGAAACGTGTAGACAGAACGCTTTGGTCTGTAAATGTCCATATATATGGAATATATTGTTTATACTTATCGTATTTCTAATTTATAACAAATGTTTCAAAGACACAACTTACCGCATGTGGGAGAGCGACAGAGTTGGTGTGCTCAATAATATCCACCTTTACCCCCGTAATGTACGGTACGCCTAACTGTAAACAACAAAACAAAAATATGTCACTTCTAACTGTAAACGACAAAACAACAATATGTCACTCCTAACTGTAAACAACAAAACAACAATATGTCACTCCTAACTGTAAACAACAAAACAACAATATGTCACTTCTAACTGTAAACAACATAACAACAATATGTCACCCCTATCTGTAAACAACATAGCAACAATATGTCACTCCTAAC